ACACTGAAATGATGGCAGCTGGCTGCAGAGAATGCAAAGAGTGGGGAAGAAGACGTCTGGAAATGGACTCCTGATTCAGATCTTCATATCATCCAGGCAGTGTGATTTAAGCTGAATTAATCTTTTTTTTTTTTTTCCCTGCCTGCCCAGCTAACTCACACACACATCAGAAAGCCTACAAAACTAACCGGGAGAATGAAAGCGCTGAAATATAATCTGCTTACCAAGGAAGCACTCACAGCTTAAGTGTTAGCAGTTACTGACTTGAAAGGGCCAAGTGAGAATCTCAGATGAGCGCGTTTTTTTTTCTAGATAACCTGTTCATGTCACTCCAATATTTCTTTCTCTTTTATCTCTGCTTCAGACGCTGTCCTGCTGGAGAAGTTTATTTAGCTTCTCCTCACTAATGACTCATCTGCCATAACTGGCTGTTCCAGGCAAAAGCAGAGTTCTTTTGAATAAATGTGCATTCTGAAAAGCCAATGAGCTGTAACTAGCTTTCTGAAGCGGTTATCTGCTGATTTTTATGAATTGCGACCCCACACATGGTCTCCCTTTATATTCAATAGGTGTGGGTCAGTTCGACTCAAAATTAGTTAATCAAACCCTGAAGGGAAATCTTTCTTAGTTTAATCCTTTAAAAAATGTTTTTTAACAGGCTGTTTTTATGGATCTGCGTCCTAAACATCAGCTCATCTGTATTAATGATCATTGCTTTGTCTTGAAAAGGCTCAATCAACCGCTCCAGCATGCAAACAACTTTTCTCATCTCCATGGCTTCACATCATAACAGATGTGAAATCAGCAGAAATCAGCATCCAAAAACATACAGCTTACACAAACGAAAACACGTATGCAAATAGTCATCCAAATGAAGAAGACTTTCCCTGCTCGGAAAAATGTTAATGGAAAGTTTAAATTCACAATTCTATCTTTAAATTGGCAATTTCAACCAGTTTGTATGGAAATGGGTTTTTAGCCAGCAGATGATGAGAAACAACCTTGTTCTAAAAGTTGTAGCTCAGTATGTAAGGCAAACACAGAGTGAGCAAGGGAATGAACGACTGTCAAAGCAGATGGAGGAGAAAGGAGCCTTTTTATCACTGTAGTTAACTGCAAAGAGGTCAAAGGTTGCTGCTAAATAAAGAAGGTACAGTTTCAGGGAATGTGTAGCCACAGGTTTAGTATAACCGTTTGGAAATAGCTCCCGTGTATCAACTTTGCTTGGATTTCATATTCATGTGTGCCCCTCTAACTTTTCACACCGCTGTGATGTTATCTCACATCAGAAAAACAAAACAGGCATGGTTGTAGGTTGTAAGTCAGCTTCTGCCCACATGAGGAGTGAGCTGCAGCAAGATGTGTTTGAAGGCATGCTACGCCAGACAGAGGATGGATCTGAAACGTTCCTAAATGACCATCTGGACTGGGACTGGTGGCGTTTTAAAATGAAAACGCATTGGCTAGGATGTGCCCGGGATGCTAGTTGACTTGGAGGTCACTGAGCTCATGAGCTGAGCAGCCCGGGGATACCTGCTGCTGCTCTTCCTGATTTATTTTGCCCGAGGCGGGGATGTGAAACCTTTTTAATTATGTCGCGAAGAAATGTAGAGAAATTGACAATTCAGTTGTCCATGCTGATGCATCTCCTCCTGCCTAGAGAGCAGCGGAGTTGAATGATTTTTGTTGTTGTTGTTTTCTTGGTGTTCTGGTGTGTAATCCTCAAAATCTGGGTTTTGAGACTGTACGTAAGGTTTCAATGCAGACTGCGAACAAGAACAAGGTAAAGTCTTGGATGCTTCAGGCACTGAGGCCCCTGGATTTTCTTTGTCAGGGAGACTAGTATATAGTCATGATTGAAGAGGGCTGACTTTCAGGGGTTTGTGGTCATTGTTAGCATGTGTTAAAGAGTGGCAAATCTTTGAATTCTGTCTACCAACACCACTGCTCACATGGTCCACACACAATGTCAATCCAAAATGGACATGACTGTGGTCTTTTTGAACTCCTCTGTCTTCATCCCCGTGTTGAGGTCAGTCCAGTGGACAGATACATGGGAATTGAAAGGCAAGTCCACAGCATATTGTTTACTTTTGTTCCTCAAAGTAGCATATCAGGAATGTTTGACCTGGATTCTGACAAAACAATTTGAGAATTTGCTCTCCATGTACCTTACTGAGAGTCCTGAAACTAATACAGAAGAGTTAAACATGGGATTATGTTCATAAACGTTGAAACAGACCTTCCATAAACTGCACCAGCTTCAAATAATTAGGAAGGTGCTGATTTTTTAATTTTTTTTACTGGTTTTCCTCAGTGAGGGCAAATCTGGGAGCCATAGGTGTGACAGAAACTTAGAGGCCACCTTTGTGCGTGCTCAGGCAGTGGGGCCGTGTTTATGAGCTTTTGTCTTCCCAAGGTGACGGGAGCACAAAGCTCCATTAAGTGATTACCTTCAACCTAAAGCCCCTTTTAACCCCATGCCATTTGGTGGCACCTCCCAGTGTGGGAGCAAACGTGGATGTGTCTGCGTGGCTACAGCTTTTGATCAGGGCGGGATCAGGACCTTCTCCATTCTCCACCATTACAGACCAATAAGGGGCGCCACGGTTTCAGATCAACTTTATTTTATATGCTTATGGGACATAATAAAAAAGAAGGCGAGGTTTTACTTAAGACTTGCTGTTGCTTATTTAGAATAAAGTCAATACTGGGATTTTTCCTTTGTTCCTGTCTGTGTAGAGTTGCCTCTGTAACAGTTTATATTCCCATTTTCCCTCTTTTCCACTTGCTTTCTGATGGTATCTCACCAGTTATGTCTCATGCTCTTTAAATCTCTGTCAAGTATCTGAAAACACACCATGCTTATCTCACTACACACCTGTAGTTCGCTCACTTGTGGGGCTGTGCTCAGCTACAGCAGACATCCACAGGCTGGCTTAGATGATTTGTGGCTTTTATGGGTGCGTTCATTTGGTTGTTTTTTTTAAGTCCTCTCTTATTTTTTGCAGCAGTTACAAGTTACAGTGTACTCTGTGACCTGTGAATGGGATTGTCATTATCTCAACATTTGTTTTCTTTATCAACCTTGATAAAGGATGTTTTGCCCATCAGTGCATTTCTGCTGTTGAGGACGCTGAAGCCGTTTGGTCACAATCCAGCCAGCGTTGGATGAAAAAGAGCAAAACTTCCATGGCTTCATCAAGTATGGCAGCAGCTGAATTCCTGCTAACCCCTAGCTGTGAACCTCTACAATGTCCAGAAGAGTTATCACTAAATTCATCCAATCCCAGCTCTTGGCATGAGTGTCTATGCAGATTTTCCCTCTTACTTTATTTCACAGCATGGTGAATGGAGCTTTTGTGGTCAGGGGGTATTGAATTCATTTGGCCTACAGTGATAACCGTGTCTTGGCTGTGGGTGTAAGCCAAGGCTCTCCTTTCTTCCTCTTTTGATACACTGGTCACTATTCCACTTCCTATTTGGTTTTCTAAGAGAAGTGTCTAAATGGAGTGGGATCAATGGCCGTTATTGTATAGGACGGGGAGTAAACTGACAGTCAGCTGAACCCCTGTGCTCTGCTGCAGACTCTTCAGGGCTGACATTCAGGGAAAGATCTAGTGCCCTGGAGTACATGCTTTTTAAAAAATAAATTAATTTTCTTAGATATAAATTACTTTAGAAGAAATTCCTCTGAAGCTCATCTCTTTCATACATACATGCACATATACTGTATATATATATTTATGAGGACACTCATGGGTACAAAATGTCGATTTTAACAACCCACGCAACAATTTCTTTCTCTTTGTGCCCCGATGCAGTGACCTGCTCTAAATGGTGTAGAAAAATACACTATGAACTGCGATAGTTTGGATGATTGAGCTGATACAGGTCAAGAAAAATCATCGTCTTCATATATGGGCCCATGCATTCATCTGGGTATATTGAATGCCTTTGTGAGCGGGGCGCATGCTTGTCTGAGTGGGGATGTGCATATCTGTGATTTATCACCACTGTCACTGAGCATGGCTACAGAGGGAGGCTGTCCTCATATCCCCACACATCTATTTTTACCACTGGAGACAAAGTGATTGGGAGATAAGAAAGATCGGGAGATCAATGAGGAAGACAGCTATCAAGAAAAGAAGGGAAAGGCTTTTATTGTTGTCACCAAACGGATGATACTATGTACATGCTTTTGTTAGTTCAAGTTAAAAGCCGCACATAGATCCTATATAGAAATGTGGATACAAGAGAAGGGGAAAAAGTCAAGTTATATGTTCTTTAAAAATGTTGGTTGAAAAAAATCCACGGTGGAATAGTGTTTCTATAACACATAGGGTTTGTATTGTAACCCTATGTGCCACCGTCAGCCGGCCAACTGCCAGCAGTCATTTACGGCGGTTGCGTGAATCTCACAGGGTACATGCCAGATCACACACAAATTCACACACACTCTCCATTTCCCCAAACATATGGCAGGATCTCACTAGGTGTTACCACAATTCCTCACACTCTACCCCAGTGTGAAGGAACATCAACAAACAATGGATAATCTGCCATCAGTGAAGAGTGGGAAAATCTTCTTTATCCAACTGTCTTTGTGTCTTCTGCTCCCAGCTTGTGTTTTTCATCAATAACGGTAATGGCAGTAATGACATGGCATTACTTCCTCTGCCTCAGACACCAAATATGCATTATCTAACGAGATGCACAAAACGTTGCATTGGACTTAGTTCTTGTGGGTGGCATTTTACATACACACTGAAGAGTCAGTTTGGATGTAGAGAGGACACACACAACTCCCATGCTACAGTAAACACACTCAAGAGAAGCAAAGTGTTTCCGTTAGCATCACCAGCTTCAGATCTCCATGGTGACAGGGGTACATGTTCATTTTGTGTCTTTGTGTGTTTCCATTTTTTAAGTCAGCCCGATAATGAATCATAATAACAAGCAAGCTGCACGGCTAACTTCTGCTCCCTTTGGCTGTCTAGGTACTACTCGCGCCTTACGTGACGGAGAAGTTCCTGGTGTGGACTACAACTTCCTCTCAGTAGAAGACTTCCTGGAGTTGGAGAAGAGTGGGACGCTGTTGGAAATAGGAACATATGATGGTAAATACCACAGCCGCACAGCCATTTGGTTGCTTGGTTGTAACTACTAAGGACCAGACACCAACAGATGTACCCCCCAAAAAAACCCTTTCTACCAAAGTGCTACAACTGAACTCTCATGAGAAGTTGCAAAAGTGAGGATGAGTAAGGCTACCTTAAATCTCTTAAAGCACTGTGCCTTTCATTTTATTACAGGGCTCATCTGTTGGTTCCTGAATAACCGAGGAACCAACAAATACATAAAGCATATGACAGACTTTTGAAATTTTTCCAATATAATTTAAGAAAAATCAAAATCTACATAATCGTGAAAAGTACATGATTTGGAGTTTGCACAAAGACCTCGTCCATACACCATGTTGACAAGTTATCTTGTGTTCTCAGAGGTTCTCATTCAGCCATGACACGGGGCTGAAAACAATGAGTGATGTCACAGTGCCTGGGTTAATCTTTCAACAGTTTATGGTCCTGTGGTCTGCTTTGGCTAGTACCTCCTGTCCAAACTATAATCCTGTAAGAATACATGTAAGCAATTGATAGGCGACTTGAAAGCTGCTGCTGTCTTTGATGGCAGTGTGCGGGGAATCACGGACTCGTGATAGACATCTGCTGTGTGACGTACCAACCCGCTCCCCTCTTCAGTTGGAGGGAATAAGCATAGTTTTCTTCATATCATAAACAAGTAAAAATATCAGTCCACTTCTGTATTTTATTCACCATGTCTGACTGCAGGCAGTTAGTCACTTGCTCTGTCCTTTACAAGAAGGCTGCAGTTCTCAGAGTGAACATCAAAGATGTAATGTCTCAGTTTATACGGAGCTCTAATGGTGCACAACAGCAAACAAACATGTATCCATCTACTTTATAAATATATGTTTGGGCTCTTTAGGCATGCCCTAGACTTTACCACAGCAAACTCCTGAAACCTGCGGGACAGGACGGGAGCGTAATACCCCTGTGTTTACAGGATGAAGAGAACTGGCTCCCTGCATTAGCTTTTGTCTCACCTGGGAAATTGTTAGTCAGGTTAACAGATTTAAAAGTTTACCAGTTTGCTTGATAGAATTAAAAAAAGGGTCTGATTTTCATGTCATTTCCAGTCAGTATTTGAAAACATTTGTTAAAGTTTGACTCATTTAAATAGAAATTAAAATTAGCTTTAATTGTAAAAACTTTGAGCAGGTATTTAATTTCTGAACTGTCCCTGAAGTGGAATATTAGTTGTGATAAGTTTTTGAAAAGGTAAAGCTCATAGCTAAAGAGAATATTCTCCCACAAACCCTAATTTTCCATACAAAGACTTTGCCCCCCCCCCTCTCTCCCTCTCTTACACACACAAAGCCCCCTTTGACCCCTACTCTCATGCCCTCTCTGGACTTCTTTTATGTGTCTTTTTAATCTCCCACCTCCCATCTTCTCCCCTTCCCGCCTTTGTTGCCTAGGTAACTATTATGGGACACCCAAGCCACCGGTGCAGCCCCCCAGTGGGAAAGTGATTAGCAGTAGCGGTAGTGGCGGTGATGCCCCACTGTCCGACGGGCTCAGCTCCCAGCACTCCACGCCCCGACGCGCCAAGTCCTACAATGACATGCAAAATGCTGGACTAGGGTTCGGAGAGCAGCAGCTGGAGGACGACGAGGACCTCCCTGACATGAACAGCAGCTACACAGGTACGCAGGGGGGTGGACGGCAGAAGGGAGGACAACCAGTGTGTGTGTGTGTGTGCAATCCCACTCAAGAAAAAGGGTAGAGACGATAGGACCGTTTACATGGCACCAGAAAGCAAAGCGCATCATTTTGTGGGTCTTTTCAGCACATTTCAACGTTCAGGGTGTTTTCTTTTTCAGTGCATTGTTGTTGTTTCAGCGTCATTTTGCACTGTTTCTTTAATTCAGAGAAAGACAATGCGATTTTCTCCTGCATTGCATTTACATCAGCTTCCGCCAGTAATGAGACAAGCGAGAACAAATGGTGACTGAAAACACACGGGAACCTCACGCTGAAGCCTCTGATTTGGATCGAGCTTTATTCAATATTCGATTTAGATTTAGCCTGAGGCTGGCGGTATACAATATAAGTTACAATATAATTATTTGTCGGATATTTGCCTTCTCTGAAGTGTTTGTGTCCAAATTGATTTAAAAATTAGTTTGCTGTTTCACACTTGTTTTAGGTTTACAGGTAATTATTTTCAACTTCCAATAGTTTGAACTATTTAGCACTTTCTATTTAACAAGTTTCTGGTCACAACCCCCTGTTTGGTTACAGCCTTTGTACACTCTGTGTAGTCTAGCTCAGAATTGATACACAGGTTTTTTATTTACTGCTTTTGAAAGGTGATGGATAAAATGGGTGGGCGCAAAGGCTGAATTGTGAGAAAAGGTAGCAGGAAATTACAGAGAAATAGTGAGTCACTTAAAACTGGCCACGTCTGGCAAGGATCAAACAGAAAGACCAGTTAGGAAAGTTGTCAAATCAAAAGTGGGGCAGGGGGTGTGGAGAGAGGCTGTAGGAGACAAGAGGGTCTTTGATTTGCGAGTAAGTAGTCTCCAGCTTTACATCTGCATCCAGAAATGTAAAATGGTGCCACCTGGCTGTGAGCAGCGAAGGGAGATTAAGCACCTGAGATATTCCAAATAATTTAAATGTCGTCATTTAAAATGAGTTCGCAAGGAAACAGTTAAGTTGTTGGGTTTAAATACTCGGCAATATCCTAATGTACCTGAGTGATACATTTTTTACTCTTTGACAAATAGGAAATCCATTGTTTATATTGATATACACAAATTCCTGATAAAGCTGCTCCCACTTGTATATTTTTCTCTTTCTTTTGCCAAATGGCCACAGCTATCATCAGCTGTGATTGATAGTCAGACTACCATAATAAGGCTTTGTGCTAACTTGGAGTCACTTTAAAGTATTTTCAGATTGTCACTCTGCTCTAATAAAACCCAGATTTTTGGAACTACAGACTCTCCAGAGTGAAGAAGTCACCTCTCAAACATCTCAGACGTCAATGCACTTATATCCATGTAAGATGATATAAGGGCAGCAGTCCAGTTTTATGGCCCAGCTGTTCTGTAACAACAATGTAACGTTGTATAAGCTGAAAGTCAAGTGTGAGTGTGAAAATGAGACGACTGGGAGTGAGGTGACGAGACTTCACAGGGTGTGATCGTAGGTGGTTTGTTTACCACAGACCCACACAGCTGTGTGGCAAACACGGAACATAGTTTTCAGAGAAACAGATGCCGTCAGATTTAGTGCTGACCATCTTCCTTTGTTGAATATTTAAGGCGCTTATATCCTCTTTTCCCAGAACGATCACATGGATACTTTTGATCCTTTTTGAGGACAATTCAAAATATTTTTCAAACTTTTTTCCTCTTCTCTTTTCTTTTTTACCCTTCTGATTCTTCCAGGAGACTCTAGTGAATTAGACGAAATTCACCACTCGGTGCGCCCTTACGCCCCCCGCCAGAGTGACCCGCCCTACTCTGGGATAACCCCCTCACCATCGGCCACCACGGAGAGCACACAGCAGTCACACTCCCACCTGAGCCATCCTCCCCCAGAGGACCCGCTGGGACCTCTGCCTGACAACTGGGAGATGGCCTACACGGAGAACGGAGAGGTCTACTTTATAGAGTGCGTAAGTCCACAGAAAACTGTGGATTTGACTCAGTTTAGTAGGTTTACGATAAGCCTCCATCACAGTACTAACATGTGGCATTGTTTCTGTGTGCTCTGTTTAGCCACAATACAAAGACCACCTCCTGGATAGACCCCCGGTGCCTGGACAAACCTCAGAAGCCCCTGGAAGAATGTGAAGATGATGGTATGTCCTTGTGTGAGCGTGGCAACCCAAAGGATCATGTTGGTGTATACGTTTCTTTATTTTTGCACCTTTTTTTTATGTTTCTTTACCTTTTTCAAGTATAAACCTGAATTGAAAAAATAATTTGAGCCTCAGCCTTGACGTTGAAGAAACACAGAAGGATCCAGCTGAGCTCATGTTTTACCAAATGCTAGCACAATATACTTGGACACAAGTGACACAGAGTCCATAAATGTATACCTAAAGATGCAAGTTCTAGATTAGAAGTAGAGTAGAGCCCTTAGATGTCAGTCTTGGGTCACAAAGAATAACAGGCGTCTGTTAGGCCTCACAGCTCTGAAGTCTTTACAGCATCATTGTGTGTTTTTTGTCTTTGATTATTCTATTTTTCTGTCATTTTGTTGTTTTAATCAACAATAGCAGAGAGATTTCAGAAAAATCCTCCTTTGCAGTATAGCCCTTGCATTATGGCCAAATCATTTCCCTCCAGAACAGAATCTGTGGAGATTTGAACATCACAAGACTTGTGGTGGTGTTACCCTTTGCTCTCCTACACTCAGTCGTCAGTTAGCACATCCTGTTAGTCCTTTAAGTTGTAGAGCAGGCCTCCATGGATTGGACAAATTCTTTCCTGCAAATTATTGTTTTTAGCCTTACAAATCCCACAGTTTCACTGCATGGTTATGATCTGTGTGTCATATTACCCCGTTGACAAATGATCAGAATAATTGATCATGCAATAGTTAGTCCACACAAACTGATTTATCTATCACATTGGGCTTGCACGAATTGTGATTTTTGTTTTGTTGGATGTTGACACTCTGGTTTTGATTGTCTCTTGCCACCCAGTGGCCAGATGTTGTTATTACATTCTGCTAACACATCTTTTTTGTTCTCTTGTCTGCCTCCTGTTCATGCAACAATCTTCTGCTGCTTCGCTAAGTAGAAGGGGTGCATACAGAGGAGTTGGATAATGATTTAGGTAAGAGCCTCTCTCATCTTCACTTGCTGCTACACGATTGGTAAACTGTGGAGTCAGTGTGTCACAAGGTTAATTCTTCCCCTATATAACACAGGATCAAAGCAAAAGCTTTACATGCTCATGTAGCTGGGGACAAGAGGCGCTTTCTGTCACCCAGAAATGATACACTATTTTCACAAACATCTGACATTTACTGAAGCTACCCTTAGCACGTGGCTGTGACTTTTAGCAAACGCTCAGCAGGGACTCTTTATCACAATTGTCAACTTACCCACACACAGACATCACACCAACTCAGCAGGTCTTTATTTCAACATGATGCATAAGCTGATCCTAAGATGATTACTTTAAAAATAATTTTGAAACTAACTACCCTATCAGACACAGTGGCAATGCCACTGTTCAGGATAAATGGTGTCTGGGGATGATGGCTCACATGGTAATGCACTATTAATGATGATGCCGTGTTCCCTGAGGACATATCTGACTAATAACTGTATGAAGCCTTTCTGAATAACATGTTGCAAATGAGCTGTTGGGACACTGAGATATGTGGGCAAAAAGAAATCCATGCCCATGCATGCGTTTATTGTTTCTATTTATTAAAAAAACTAAGAAGACTGAATGCAATGATATTGCTTTTGTCAGGCATTTAAGTAATGCAGAACATGAAGTGATGGTGAAGAAAGGATTTCATGGTCTCATAAAAGCCATTCTCAGCGATCCGTGGACCATATGTTACCTAAAATGAAGTTTTCAACTGTCCTTACAGCTGTATTAAATAACTACAAGAGAGCTTTGAATAACATAACTGAACGTAAAACGAATGATGTCACAGACTAAGAAATGCCCACAGCCACTATTTTGGTTCCTCTCTCCTGCGTTATCGCCCCGTAGAAGGTAATGAAGCCAAGCGAAAGTAAAGATTTCCACCAAATGTACCCAGCTGGTTTTCTGCAGATTCTGCTCACGAGTGTGCATGTGGCACCTCTAAAGTATCGGCCCAGACAAGCAGTCACCAGTCCATGTTACAGTCCTCCACTGGATGAGCAAATTCAATATTTATCGATCCGACCAATCCAATACAGGTTGGCAAAGAAAAGGGATAAAAATGTGATCTTGAAAGAGGAGCAAACATAAGCATTTTTTCAAATGCCAGCTTACAAATGCACAAGTTCTCCCCTGCACATACACGAAGTGTCTATCCCTCACACAAGTTTACACAAGACGATCCGACAACTGCGCAGGTGTCACGAGGATGAGACGCAAACAGTTGAAGATGTAATTAAATGGGCTCAGCTTTCCCTGGCTTTGGAAAATAGGATGTGGGAGAGTCACACAGGATGAGAGGAGGGCACAGCTTGATAAGTGACACAGTTCTGTGTTTTAATCATTGGTTTCCACTCACTAAAAATATGCCTTGACTTTCAAATAGCTGTGGCTCCGAACGCGCTCTCTGCTTTGCTCCCTGTGTTCTCACACACAGTCCCACACACACACACACACACACACACACACACACACACACACACACAC